CACGATTCTGAACGGAACGCTTATGTCACCACTGCTTCAACGGGAAAGGCCGCTATGGCCGTCAGGGGAACAACCGTCCATCATGCGTTTAACATCTGCACCATGCAACGCCGAGGAGGTCTTTCCTTCGAACAGATTCAACTGTATCGAAGTGCCTTCGCTGATATACGAATCGTCTTCATTGATGAAATTAGTATGATCGGTGCTGGAATTTTTCATACAATCAATGAGCGCTTAAAAAACATCACGATGCAGCACGATGTCCCTTTCGGTGGCATGGATATCATATTCAGCGGCGACTTGCGTCAATTGCCGCCTGTTTGCATGAAACCTATATATGAACCTTTGACTCGAGGCATTCACCGTTCTGTGTTGTGGCAGTCTCTAGAATATTATCCTTTGAATCATGTGATGCGACAAGCGGATTCCCAATTTTCTTCAATTTTGACAAAAACTGGTGATGGTGTCCCACTGGCGAGCGATGAGCAACGCTTGATCGAATCTCGATTCCGAACTCGCGAATGGTGTGAAGAACACGCGCACAGTGCCATACGACTGTTCCACAGAAATAATCAGGTCGAGGCCTACAACACCTCTGTCGTGACTCCGAAATGGGTCGCGGTTGCCACCGACATATATTCCGGTCATCGAGATAATGCACAGCTTTCCTTGTCGCGTTCGAATGTTCATAAAATGTCTCCGGCGGAAACAGGCAATCTCCTCTATCACATACCTTTAGAATAGGATCAGCCCTACATGATTTCCTGTAATATCGATGTGAACGTCGGCTTGGTGAATGGAGCGATTGGCTTCTTGAAATACGTGGATGAAAGATGTCTTGATGACGAACCGTCAAATTCATCTCGAGGTCTGTCTTCTCCTCAGCCTTACTGTTTATGGCTTGATTTCGTTGACAATCCCCAAATAGGCGCTGTGGTGAGAACAAAACACCGCCTATGGCTCTCACGAGGGAAGAATTAAAAACATCTTGGACCCCTTTATTTAAAAAAAAGTCTCTTTCTCGATCTTGGACCCCTTTATTTAAAAAAAAGTCTCTTTCTCGATCACAAAAGGCAGCAAAATCAAATGCAGCCGCTCGAATTTCCCACTCCGCCTTGCTCGCGCCATTACAACGCATAAATCTCAAGGTGCCACTTTCGAAAATGTCGTGTTTGATTACGATCGCAATCTCCAACAACAACTCGTTTATGTCGCGTTGTCGAGAGTCCGTTCGATTGAAGGCTTGTTCATCACGAACTCCAAGAACGACTTCAAATTTTTTCACGGTTCGGGTTCTTCTTCGCCGAAGATTCTGCAACTCAAGTCAGAATTGGCTCGCCTCGATAAACACCATTTTCAGACCCTCGACAGCAAAACTCTCTCTGATTTTGCAAACTTCGAGACTTTACTGCTAAATTTCAACAATCAGAGCCTCAAAGCTCATTGCAGTGATTTTGAGAATGACGTCGTTTTAATGAAAGCCCATCTGATTTGTTCACCGAAACTTGGATGGAAAACATTCTTCAATAGAATTGGAAAGATACACATCAGTGGCTAAAAATAAGCGGCGCGGAACATCAGGCGGAGTGGCCATATTTCTCGAAAAGGGTCGTTCTCTACCTAAAACAAAATGAACAGCCTAGTCTTCTTACTATCGATTGTGGAGACATTTGCTTTCGCCGATGTCGTTCTCGGAAACCGTCCCACACGATTAATCGTTGTTTATCTCTCACCCGGATGCAATTTACCTCGAATAATGACTTTCTTCGATTCGCATCGAAATGTATTCACGATGGCTCGAGATGTACCGAATCAAGCTATCATTCTGTGTGGAGATTTCAATTGGGACATATCAATCGTTGGTAAGAAAGACCCTCTGTGTCAGTTCATGAAATCCAACTTTGATCTGGATTTAGAATCTGAAGCTTCGACTCCGACCACAAGGGCTCGTTCATGTATTGATTTGATATTCTCAAGGAATTGCCCGCCGTCAGAATGCATACCCAATATTAGCTATTTCAGTTTTCATAAGCCTATATTCTATTGCATCGGCGACAGCCGATAAATGATATGCGATACGTGTCCGTCATCAGCCTACCTAGATGATTGGAAATGTATATGTATGAATAAATTGTCCAATGCCTTTCTGAAAAAAGCGTAGTTCTACGCCCTCATACCGCCTGAGTCCATGACTCGGGCATCCCGGGAATTTTTTATTGACATTTCTGAGTATGAATGGATTGCCCTATTCAAATGGAGAGCGCGCTCACTCACTTGAATTCGTTCGGCCCGACAACTTCCCTCCTTTTTGACGTCGAAGACGTCATAGCTCTAAGCTTCAGCGAAAATCGTCACGGAGAGGGAAATCGCTTCAGAGCGCAATCAGCCAACAAGAAACCGGCGAAGAGTGTGTCGCCTGGGAGAGGAGGAGCGCTAGCAGCATAGAGCCCAGATCCACAAAGCGCAGGCTGCGTAGGCTCTCGAACACTCTAGTTAATCACTGATGATTAGTAAGACATCCTGAGAGAGATTCGTCGCGGGCTCGAAACCGACTGCGAGAAGGACGATTCGAGAGCGGAGGCCGACTGTTTCGTCTCAACAGTCAAGCCACAGGAGAGATTGTTGTGCGGGGATACGAGGTGAGGGAAAGCCTACCCCGAAGATACTCCGCGCAAAATTGCAATGACGGCAGATATCGGGGAAGGTTTCCCATGGTATGGAATCACGTAGAGCGATCCGACAGTTTTGCGCTTCGGGAGGCCATTGGGAATCTCGGATGACTTGGCGACACCCGCGGGCAGAGAAATAACGGTGCATCACAAAATGTTCATGACGATGGTAGATGTTAAAGTCGTCGATGCTCTGACGAATATCTCGTGCACCTAGAAATGTTACATCTGCGCGACAACGTCGAAACAACGTGCTAGTGGCGAGATCCCACTCGATATTGTTGATAACTATAGCTTCGGTCTATCAACACTTCACGGATGGATCCGCACGTTTGAATTTCTGCTGAACATCGCCTACTGCATGGAATTCAAGAAGAAGAGGCTTTCGAAGGAAGAGCAAGCTCAGAAAAAGCTGCGGAAGAGCGAAATTCAGAGAAAGTTCCGGGATGGACATCAGTATAGCAGCGGAACCCAGTCTAGCAGTGAAGCCAAGAGACGGCAACAAATCACAGGAGCGGATAGAACCAGTGGAAGACCCAACAGCATACAAGGAGTCGACGAGAGTCAACGTAACGGAGTCCGGAGGAATCAGCGGATCGTCCAACCCAACAGCCAGCGCAATTGTCAACATTGGAGAAGGGGAATCACAACAGAACGGTGACGTACGAGGAGAAAGTTCGGGAGAGGATATCGGGATCACCATAGATCCAGCATTGTATCCGAGAAGTAGTCGGAAGCACCGACATAGGCATACTAATCTAGATATGGCAATGATAGAGTCCCCAGGTAGCGATGAAACTCAGCGTAGGTCAAGTAGGAGAGGTAAATTTCCGGGACGATATACTAAGTAGCATCGAGGACGATTGCATTGGTAGCGTGATCGAGCAGTGAACGATATTTACATACGTCGTGCACGTTCGAGAGAAGTGCGAGACGATAAGAAAG